TTCTAATTCTAATTTATTAATTTTTTCTAACTTACGTCTAATTACACTAACATTTTCTCTTCTTTCCTGGGAGTCTTTGTTTAGATTTCTATAAAATACTTTTAATTCCTCTAATAAGTAACGAAATTCTTTTTCATCCACCATATCATATCCATTTCCATATATCCAATTTAAACTCGATCGGTGCTTTTAGATATTTCCCGTCTAATTTTCCTCTCCAGTTGTTTCTTACATCTTATATAGCAAAGTATGCCTATACCAATAATTGCCAGACCTAAAACAATCAAAACCAAAACGTCCCTAGTTGATGTTACCGCTTGACTTGTAGTATTCGTTATTCCTCCACTATTGCCTGCCTGGGCTATTATGACTTCTTCCTTGACCTCTTTAGTTTTTTGATTTCCCATGGTTTTTGTGCTTTCTAGCCTTTTCGGTTTCCAAATTCCCAATACTTCCCAGCTCTACTTAGTTTTTCCCTTCAACTATACCATTTAGAACCGTAATTCGATTGGCAGGATCGCCATGTGATAACCTTGCAGGGTTATCTTGATACTTTTAAATCAAACACAAGGTTTTTACAAAACCCAACTTATGTTTATTAGTTCGAAGACATTAATACAATAGTCAAAAACTATATGCCCTCTTTTGACGGCATGTTTATTCTAATTAACCTAGTTATCTTTAAAACTCATCATAAGCAATATTGCCTATTATTAATTATACATATTTATATTTGAATGTTAAACATACAATTGCTACATAATGTATAGGGTGTGAAACCCTATTGTAACTACAGGATGTTACACACTACATCCTGGGAATATCTTGGAAATGGTGAGTCGTAGAGGAACAACTCACTGAGCTTTTTTTGTAGATCTCGACGAGCTCTATAATGTAGCCATGAACGGTTTTCCTCTACGACTTACGGTTACCGATCTATGGCTGGTTGAAGTTTCAATTTTTGTAATTTTCAGAGTTTTCTGTACTGTAGGTATAGAGGACCAAAAATCAAAGTCAGAATTTCGAAATTTCAAGATAGCCATTTTGTAGAGGGGATCCCAAAAAGTCCCGAAATCAACTTTTTTTCCCTTTATTTTCCGATTTTCCATGTTTTTCCAGGCTTTTCAATGGAAAAATCAAACTTGAAAATTTTGGGAAAATTATTATTTTTTGGCTAAAAGGGGCCAAAATAAGGCGAAAATGCCTCTTGACGTTTTTTGATTTAGGGCCTCCTAAGCCCGGAAAAAATTCCAAAAGCCAAATAGCTTTTCTGCCTGTTTTCACCTCCTCTATACACTAGAATTTTTGTTTTTCCAAAATTCGGAAAATTTCGATTTTCCATTTTTTTCATAAGGAACCTATAAAAGAGCGAAGCAAAAACTCCAGGAAAAACTGAGAATTGAGGGGGGAAAAGTGGGTTCCGACATTTGTCTGAACGTCCTCTATGACGTCATGAAAAAAAATCCGGGAAATTTTGGCTTTGATTTTTTCGCTGAAAAAAAATCCTGGGCTTATTAACTCTATCGATTTTAAATCTTCCAAGTGGAATATCTTGGAAATGGTAAGTTGTAGAGGAACAACTCACTGAGCTTTTTTTGTAGATCTCGTCGAGTTCTACAAGCTGCCCATGAACAGTTTTCCTCTACGACTTACGGTTACCGATCTAGGGCTAGTTGAATTTTCAATTTTCGTCATTTTCAAGAGTGGCCTGTGCAATAGGGATAGGGGCAAAAACCAACGTCAAAATTTCGAAATTTCAAGATAGCTATTTTGTAGAGGAGATCCCAAAAAGTCTCAAAACCAACTTTTTTTCCCTTAATTTCCCTTTTTTCCAGGACTTTCCGGGCATCTTTTACACCCGACAAAATGGAAAATCGAAATTTTCCGAATTTTGAAAAAACAAAAATTCCGGTATATAGAAGAGGTGGAAACAAGCAGAAAAGCTATTTGGCATTTTCCCGTAGGACGTCTCCTAAGCCTGGAAAAAAATAAAAAAGAAAATCTATGAGGAGGCTTTTCCAGCCTGACATGGTCTCATTAAATTGGTCATAACTCTGGAACGCCTGGATCGATTTCAATGAATCATATTTTATTTGAAAGATGATTAAATTTGCTACAAAACAGTTTCATCCAGAATTTCCAGATTTTTCCAGTTTCCTAGTTATAGGCCTTCAAAGTTGAAAATTCCACAATTTTTCATATTCAAATCGGAAGATGATTAATCGGCCATTACTCTGGAATGCTTTGATCGATTTGAGTACGAATCATGTTCCATTCGATAGAGGATTTTAATGAGCCTAATTGCATTGAAAATAAACAGTTTTTCTTAATTATTTAAACAATTTTATTAGTGGCGCCATCTAATTATCAAGAGTCTAACTAAAAATTGAAAATTTCTAGAGGTATACTATGACAGGAATCTGTAATTCGCATTTCGTTGGAAAATTTGCATATTTTATCAATTATTTTATTGGTTGTATCGATTTTTCCTAATTTTAATTGCCTAAAACAATATTAATTAACTTATTTTGCATTAAAATCAATTATTTACCATTACAAGAATCTGTAATTGGCAACTTTGGCCGCTTGTCGATAGATGGCGCTGGTAGTTTAAATAATTAGTTTTTTCGAATTATTTATTAATTTCAATAGTTTTTCCATTGATTACTTGCTTTATATGTCTATATTTATTACTTTTTATTAATAATAAATCATTATTTTCTTATAAATCAATTGATTATTGTTACAGAAATCTGCAATTTTCAAATTTAGACAGTTGGAGATTTTATGCAAATATAAGCACTAATTAGTTAATTCCAATGCTTTTTTCAATTATTATTTGTTTATTGATTATTAACTATACGTAATTAAGCGTCATTTGCATGAAAATCGAATAAGTTTCATTAAAGTTTTGGCTATTTGTTAATAGATGGCGCCAGCAACTTTGTTGATCAATTTTTACATTTTATTCGATAATTAATCAATTTTGTTAATCTTACTAATCGGAAATCGTCTAAAATAATTATATTTGGCAATAATTGAACATTATTTGTTTATAAATACATTTAATTATTATTACAGAAATCTGTAATTTGCACTTCTGGCCCCTGATAATTTGGTTCAAATTTTGAATATTTTGTCAATTATTCAATTAGTTTCAACGTATTTATTGATTAAAATTGCCTAAAACGATAATAATTACCTCAATTTACATTGAAATTAAATCCTTATATTACAGAGTTCTGTAATCTGCTATTTTATGCCGTTTACTAATAGATGGCGCTAATACGGAAAATTTGTGTTGGAAAATCGGAAAATTAGGGCCATTATGTAAGCAATTTACTCCTCTTCGAAATGAAACAAAATTCATCCAAATTGGTCCAGACGTTCCAGAGTTAAGAACCATTTGATGGGACCAAATCAAATTATTTTTTCAGAGCTTTCCCTGGAGTAAGGTACCTACCTACCTACCTACTTTTCATTGGGAGATTTTGAAATTTTCCTATAATAATCTCCCTACCTTCGTCTTTCTCCTGGAAAATTTTCAAATTTTTCCCTTTACCAGTTTTCCAGAAAAAATTAAAATGTAATAGAGTGAATTTTCCTTAAATTTGCTTAAAAAAGTCAATGTTTCAGGATTTTTCCTGGAGTGATTTTCCACTGGAAAATTTCAAAATTTTCCCATAAAAAATCACTTCAGGGAAAATTCCGGAAAACTGACTTTTATAAGCAAAATTATGGTAAAATCATCCTCTCACGTTTTACTTTTTTGCTGGAAACCTGGCAAAAAGAAAATTGCGAAATTTTCACAAGTGAAAGAGGAAAGTTAAGAGCTCATTATAGGGAAATTCCAAAATTTTCCAATAGGAAATGACTCCAGGAAAAATTCCAGAAAATTTACTTATTTAAGCAAAATTAAGAAAAGTTCACCTCTTGCATTTCAATTTTTTTTCTAGAAAACTGGCAAAGGGAAAATTTTGAAATTTTTCCAGGAGAGAGAGGGGAATATGAAGTTCATTATAAAAAAAAATTCAAAATTTTCCAATGGAAAATGACTCCAGGAAAAATTCCAGAAAATTGACTTATTTAAGCAAAATTAAGAAAAATTCACCTCTTGCATTTTATTTTTTTTTCTGGAAAACCGGCAAAGGGAAAATTTTGAAATTTTTCCAGGAAAGAGAGGAAAGTGTAAAGCTCATTATAGGAAAATTTCAAAATTTTCCAATGAAAAATGACTCCAGGAAAAGTTCCAGAAAATTGACTTATTTAAGCAAAATTAAGGAAAATTCACCTCTTGCATTTAAATTTTTTTCTGGAAAACTGGCAAAGAGAAAATTTTGAAATTTTTACAGGAGAAAGAGGAAAGTCAGGAGCTCATTATAGGCAAATTTCACAATTTTCCAATGGAAAATGACTCCAGGAAAAATTCTGGAAAATGGACTTATTTAAGAAAAATTCACCTCTTGCATTTTAATTTTTTTCTGGAAAACTGGCAAAGGGAAAATTTTGAAATTTTTACAGGAGAAAGAGGAAAGTCAGGAGCTCATTATGGGAAAATTTCAAAATTTTCCAATGAAAAATGACTCCAGGAAAAAATCAAGGAAATTGACTTATTTAAGCAAAATTAAGGAAAATTCACCTCTTGCATTTTAATTTTTTTCTGGAAAACTGGCAAAGAGAAAATTTTGAAATTTTTACAGGAGAAAGAGGAAAGTCAGGAGCTCATTATAGGAAAATTTCAAAATTTTCCAATGAAAAATGACTCCAGGAAAAAATCAAGGAAATTGACTTATTTAAGCAAAATTAAGGAAAATTCACCTCTTGCATTTTAATTTTTTTCTGGAAAACTGGCAAAGAGAAAATTTTGAAATTTTTACAGGAGAAAGAGGAAAGTCAGGAGCTCATTATAGGAAAATTTCAAAATTTTCCAATAAAAAATGACTCCAGGAAAAAATCAAGGAAATTGACTTATTTAAGCAAAATTAAGGAAAATTCACCTCTTGCATTTAAATTTTTTTCTGGAAAACTGGCAAAGAGAAAATTTTGAAATTTTTACAGGAGAAAGAGGAAAGTCAGGAGCTCATTATAGGCAAATTTCACAATTTTCCAATGGAAAATGACTCCAGGAAAAATTCTGGAAAATGGACTTATTTAAGAAAAATTCACCTCTTGCATTTTAATTTTTTTCTGGAAAACTGGCAAAGGGAAAATTTTGAAATTTTTACAGGAGAAAGAGGAAAGTCAGGAGCTCATTATGGGAAAATTTCAAAATTTTCCAATGAAAAATGACTCCAGGAAAAAATCAAGGAAATTGACTTATTTAAGCAAAATTAAGGAAAATTCACCTCTTGCATTTTAATTTTTTTCTGGAAAACTGGCAAAGAGAAAATTTTGAAATTTTTACAGGAGAAAGAGGAAAGTCAGGAGCTCATTATAGGAAAATTTCAAAATTTTCCAATGAAAAATGACTCCAGGAAAAAATCAAGGAAATTGACTTATTTAAGCAAAATTAAGGAAAATTCACCTCTTGCATTTAAATTTTTTTCTGGAAAACTGGCAAAGAGAAAATTTTGAAATTTTTACAGGAGAAAGAGGAAAGTCAGGAGCTCATTATAGGCAAATTTCACAATTTTCCAATGGAAAATGACTCCAGGAAAAATTCTGGAAAATGGACTTATTTAAGAAAAATTCACCTCTTGCATTTTAATTTTTTTCTGGAAAACTGGCAAAGGGAAAGTTTTGAAATTTTTCCAGGAAAAAAGAGGAAAATGTAAAGCTCATTATAGGAAATTTTCAAAATTTTCCAATTGAAAATTGGAAAAATAAGTTGGGTTAGTTTGGGTTAGGCTAAATTGGGTTAAGTTGGGTTAAGTTGGGTTGAGTTGGGTTGTACTTAATTTTTTTTTTAAATCGACCAGTCCCCGAAAACCCATAAGATGTGTGCGATGTCCTTCAGATTTAGGGAAAAGTTAAAAATGACCAATTCCATAGAAATTATAAAAGAAAATTTATTATTATTTATTATTAAAAATCTGCACTATGAATAAAATAAAAAAAAAAACAACAAAACCTATAGACCAATATAATAATAAATATAATAATAAATAATAAACTTATAAACATAGTTGAAAGAATTTTGAAATCAATCAATCGCTTAAATAGTTATTACACAAAAAAAAAGAGGCTAATTTAATTTTTACAGTAAAATAGTTTGAGAAAATAATAGTAATACTTTAAACTTAATTAGGTTAGGTGGCAGTTTCCGAGTATTCATTGCTTTTTCGAGGGGTGAGGTGTTCCTAAGGGAGAAAATAAATCAATAATTGACCTTTTCAATTTAAAAACCTCTCTCTCTGGCATCAAACTGTCAGATGCCAAAAAAGTATGAAAACAATGATTGACAGCCGTTGACAGTGGTTTGTAGACAACTTTTGAAAGAAACTATTATTTCTTCGGCGTTTTCAAGGTTTTTTGCTAACAATGGTGATTGTGTGTAGTGTGCCTATTCATAAAAATAATTCCTATTCACTGGCGGACGTGTCTTTCCATAAGTTTCCATCAAATCCCACATTTGTCAAAATTTGGATACACAAAATCAGAAAGGATACCCGCAAAAGAAAGGGAAAACCACGGCCCATAAAGTATACAAAGTAATCCACGTCCAAGTTTAGTTGGCAGAAGCTGTTTGCTTCCAAATAATCCACCACCGTCTTCAAAGCGAAGTTCTCCGAACGAAGCAGTGACTTTTCCCACATTTTCTTTCCAATTTCAAACCCTGTGTTTTTATTCATATCAAATACCGATGGATCCATCATTTTATGTCGGTCATTTCCATTTTTCATTCAGTTAACAAACATAGCTAACTCATCGGTGAAGTCACCGATTCGAATATAAAAACGAGGGGATTGCTAACCACCCAATACGCATTGACATTGACAAGCAAGCAAATGTTGGCGGGAAAATGAATGTTTTCATACTTATCGTTCGTCTCTTTTAATTGAAAACGTCAATACAGGGTGTCCGTTTTAAGTGATACCACTATTGCTATCTCCGAAACGGTAAAAGATACGAGGTCGGTTAAATTAGAAAAAAGTTGCCTTTTTTGATGCCCATTTACAGTGTTGCCGAATTCCTTTCAGTTTAGGAAATATATAGTGATTTCTGAGAAATGCCTAAAACTATTTCATCAATTATTTCAAAAACTATTAATTTTCGGGACACAATTTAATTTTGAAAGTTTTATAACTTTTGTCGCTTTACAACATGGCATCTTCAAATTTCAAATTTGACGTTTTGTGATTGAGCTACCATCATCAACTTCATTTTTTCAAATACGGACCTGGATTTTTTATGTCAAGCGCACTTTAATCTTCTTTTAACGATATACCTTTTAAGTATGATTGGTCGACGTTTCTGCTCGAAAGAGTGATCATCAGTGATTTTTACCAGGGGCCGAATTAGGGTAAAATTTTGGTAAAAATCACTGATGATCACCTTTAAAAGCAGAAACGTTGGCCAATCATACTTAAGAGGTATATCATTAAAAAGGGAATAAAGGGAGCTTTCTAAATAAATGACATAAAAAATTAAGTTGATGATGGTAGCTCGATCACGAAATGTCGGATTTGAAATTTGAAGATGCCATGTTGTAAAGCGATAAAAATTATAAAATTTCAAATTGAAATTGTGTCCTGAAAATCAATAGTTTTCAAAATAATTGATGAAATAGTTTTAGGCATTTCTCAGAAATCACTATATACCTATTTCCTAAACTGAAAGGAATTCGGCAACACTGTAAATGGGCATCAAAAAAGGCAACTTTTTTCTAATTTAACCAACCTTGTATCGCTTACCGTTTCCGAGATAGCAAAAGTGGTAGGTATCACTTAAAACGGACACCCTGTATAATATGATTCATTTATTAAAATCTCGAGACTGTTGAATGAGATTTACTTACTCCGAATTATTGCACTACATTTCAAAAAGAATCAGGTGCTAACTTCACGCGTGCCTCAAAACTTTGAAATATGAAAAACATTATAGACATAAAAATATCACTAACTCACCTCAGTATTTGTTGACACGTTAAAATGGAAAGACTCATTACTAATATCCTAAAAGTAAAAAAAATCCCAGATTCATAACCTCGAAACATTCTAAAACTTTACTTACTTCATCAAATTCCTCTTTAAACTTTTTAATAAGCACATCCCTGGGCAAAGCTCCAGCGCCCACCTGTTTCGGATAATTGACGCTGATTTTATTCGGAGTATCGTCGGCTCGAATCGCCTGATTCCACGCATCCAATAAATCTTTTCCTATTTTCTCAGTCGTTTCTAATAGTGATTTTTGCTCAGAAATGTGCATTTTTAGAGATTTTTCTGTTGAGGCGATCATTTGTTTCATAGTATTAATATGAGTTTGGTTGAGGTTCAAATCGGCCGTTTCCGTGTCGATTTTTTGGTTGATCAACTGAGAAAAAATATTGATTTCAACTTTAAACAAACAAAAAAAAAAAAAAAATATTAAAACTCACCTCAGTAAGGCGTGACTTTACTGAGTTATATTTTCAAAATTTTCCTCAACACTCTCTCAGTCTGGGCTACCAAATCAACTCCAGTATTTGGCAATACTGTTGATATTGATATGAAATCTTGTTTGATCTGTAATTGACCGATAAAAATTAATTATAAACTTTACTTCATAAACAGTATGAAATAAAATATTGTAGTTATTCACTACGGATTTATTTATACAAAAATTATTACCATATTTTTATCTTCTTCCTCCTCGATAATAAAGTTGTTGGTTTCTCTGTCGATTGTTTCCAACGTTTCTACCATTTCTTCGACTTCTTGTTCCAATAATTTGATTTGTTGCCTTTTGTGTTGTATTTGCTTGTATAACATGTCCCTGAAACGCGATCTCACTTTGTTCAGCTGCTCCGCATGTCTTGTCGTGTATTTCTGAAACTGAAACAGAAAATAAAATAATTACAGCTGAATATCGAGGGTTTCTTTCAGGCAGTGGCGGCGGCTGGTGAGAAGAAAAGTTGGCAAGGGGAAAGCCCCAGAAGCTCGCATTTTTTTTTAGATTGACCCAAACTAGGAATATAAAGAAAAGAGAGAGAGAACCGTAAGCAATACTTTATTCATTTTAACGGTCGACCATAGGAATAGGTACTTACATTTTTACATCCTTTATCGACCAATCCCATCACTTCACTCACACAACTCCGTCTTTCCTCTATAACCTCACTCACTCCGTTCTTATTATTAGCCACATCCTCGATTTCCTTTTTCCAAGCAGCGCAACGCTCCACTTCCTGGTGACACGCCCGCGCACTTTCTTCCAAAACAGCCATTTGATTGGTCACGGCAGACTGTGACGTTAACGACATCTTGTCCAATTGCTCCCGACCGCTAACAATAGTTTCTTGCAAACTGCGACACTTTTCCTGTATTAAACGGTTGTTGGAGAGACTATTGAAATATTGGGTTTCGAGTTTGAACTGCAGCATGTTGTGACTGTCAATCAATGTATTGGTGGCCTGCAGCAAACATTTCGCCTGGGTGTTTTCGTCTTGCACCGATTGGAAATAATTTTTGGACAAATACTTTTCCTGTTGCAAATTTTCACGGTGTTCTTTGAGAAGCGCCGCCGTCGCTTTGTGGATGATTTTCTCTTTGTTTTTGCAATTTTTCATCGCTTCCTCGTAGTCGCGCGTTTTAATTTTTTGTATCACTTCGAGATCGGCCAGGCGCTTTTTCATGCCGTCCATAATTTCGTTTTTCATTGTTAACGAATTTGAGTTGACGTGAAGCTGATTTTGTATTTCGTCCCAGTGTTGTTGCGCCACGAAAAAGCTTCCGCCTCCGCCTTCGCCAAGTCGAGTGGCTTCTAATTTGCGTTTTAGTTCTTCAATTTCCGTTGTCAGTTGTTTGAACATTTGGACTTGTGTTACTTTTTCGTTGACCATCGGAGTGTTTTTGACGTCCCTAGCCCTCATTGCATATTCTAGAGTACACTGGGTTACTTCGTAGGAGCTGTCAGCTGGAGACACGGTGGCGATGATGCAGGTTTTGGTGTGGCCTCCTAAACTGTCCTGCAAAATTCTCGTTAGCTTCGAATCCCGATAAGGAACGTGCCTATTGCTTTTTTCTGTCAAACTTTGTACCACGCGTCCCAATATCAACAGCGACCGATTAATGTTGGCCAGTTCCAGAGCCCTTTTATCTTTGGCGCCGCTTTTCGCGATATTTTCACTGCCGGCCAGATCTACTAGATTTATTTAGCCTGTCTTCAAAACTTCTTCGCCGTTTAAATCAGCTTCTTTGATATGTACGGTTATGGTGAACGAGAGCTGTGATTGTTCATGTGAGTTGAGTTGGTCTGACATCTTAGTGTGCCTTGTTTCAGTAGTTCGTATATGTCATTGCTGTTGAAGACGTTTTTTTCATTTAGGTTTTGTATGAAGACGGCGCCCTTGTTGTCATTGAAGATGCTGAAAATTAAAAAAATTTAGACAAATCATGGGGTGATGGAGCTTTTCGTATTTATTTATTTATTTATTTATTTATTTATTTTCCAACCAACTACAAAGTTTATTATAGGGAATATAATATACAAATTGTACTTCAATATACCTACTATCATCATGTAATATTGATCTTTTTCCTTGATTCACGAAATATACATTAAGATTTAAATATCCATAAGGTTTATATAAATTAACAGATGGTTCTAAATAAGGCAATTCATTCATGTATACATTTGATAATTTTGTTTTGCATAATTTATAATGGTTTCAAATGCGAGATCCCCATATTGAAATCAAATATGGCAGTTTCGAATGAAACAAAGTTTCTAATGTCTATCAACTTAGCGAGACAACTTCGAAAAATCGATTTTCCATTATGCCAAGAATTTGCCGCTTTTTTGCCGCTAATTAAATGTGGAATTAAAAAATTTGCCGCTCATTTGGTTTTTTCTTAATTACGTGTTTTGCTAACTTGACGTCAAGATAGCGAGACAACATCACTAAATATGTCAGCAGTAAAAAATTAGGTATATGAAAATTTGCCGTTTTTTTGCCGCTAATTAGTTGTGTAAACCAAAAATTTGCCGGTTCTTTTTTTTTCCATAAATAATCAAGTTTGAAAAAAAAAATCATTTGTTTCGCTAACTTGACATCAAGTTAGCGAGACATTATCACTAAAAATGTCGGTAGTGAAAAATTGAATGAATGGAAATTTGCCGTTTTTTTGCCGCTAATTAGTTGTGAAAACCAAAAATTTGTCGCTTCTTTTTTTTTACAAAAAATCAAGTTTCAAAAAAAATCACTAAAAATGTCGGTAGTGATAAATTGAGTGAGTGGAAATTTGCCGCTAATTAGCTCTTTTTCTTCAAGAAAATATCGCGTTTGAAAAAAATATCATGTATTTCGCTAACTTGACATCAAGTTAGCAAAACAGTATCAATAAAAATGTCGGTAGAAAATTTCATTCATCTGTCAAAACTGGTATTCGAACCATAAACTGGGCTCTGTGTCATTTGCGCAACAGTCGTTTGCGCGAGGGAGAAAAGCGCGATACTCTCTCTCTCAACAACAACAACGGAGGAGGAGGAAAAGAGAGAGATCTCTCTCAACAACAACAACGGAGGAGGAGGAAAAGAGAGAGATAAACAAAAGCGCGAGGGACAAAAGCGCGACGGAACAAAAACGCGACTGGAATAAAGCACGATTGGACAACAACGCGAGGTATCTAACTATCTACGAGGACTGTAGAGTGGCAAAAGAGGGACACATCAAATTGTATCAATAATAATCAGAAAAATGCAGCCTTACTCAAATTAACCCATACTAACCCGTTCGCCTAGTGCGATCTAGTCTTCGCTGAATAGAATTTTATTTGAAAAACAAGGCGCGGTCAAGGGACCCTACGCTATAAATAAATTGACTGTTTTTTTGGATAAAATGCTAACTTACGAGTACTGGATCGCACTAGGCGGACGGGTTATTTTGGGTTAGTTTGAGCAAGTCTGTATTTGCTTTATTATTATTGGTTCAAATTGATGTCGCAATACAGACTTACTCAAACTAACCCAAAATAACCCGTCCACCTAGTACGATCTAGTCCTCGTAAGCATTTTATTTAAAAAAGCAAAGTTAATTCACTGATTGCTCAGGGTCTCTTGAGAGCGCAGTATTTTTTAAATAAAATGCTTTGTTGCCTTTATTGATTTCAAGCGTGCTTTTGATAGCGTTAAACACTCACTACTTTGGAGAAAACTCCATAGTTTTGGGGTTCCTCCCTCCTATATAAACATCTTAATTCAGATTTACTGTAACGCTTCAGCTAAAGTAAAATGCTCTGACGGACTTTCAGACCCAATTGGAATAAGTGAAGGCGTACTTCAGGGAGAACCACTATCCCCTTTTCTGTTTTTACTGTTTCTCTCTGATATCATACAGTTTTTTGAGGGTAAGGGAGCTAGGCTAATTAATATTGATAGTGTTAATGAACTTTTTATGCTGCTCTATTGTGACGACCTAATTGTTTTCGGGCTTTCAGAACGAGATCTACAATGCAACCTGAATATCCTGGCTGAGTATGTACAGGAGAACAATTTGGCAGTCAATGTTGCAAAGTCCAAAATAATGTGTTTCAGGAGAGGGGGTTTTCAAGCTAGTTACACCAAAAGATTTATTTTCAAAAACGAACCCCTTGAAATTGTAAATGAATATACATACCTTGGAGTCACTTTCACTGCATCTTCTAAATTTCGAATTATGGCAGACAAATCTGTCTCAAAATGCAAACAGGCCATTGGCGCGGCAGTTTCACATCTATCAAAGTCTAAATCATTTTCAATTACTTCAAGACTTAAAATATTTGAAACGTGTGTACTTAACATAATGTCTGGGTCCGCACCCATCTGGGCCCTAAGATATCTAGACGTCCTTGAACAGATACAAACATCATTTCTCAAAAAATCTCTTTCCCTGCCTAAAAGCACCTCTTCAGCCATACTTCGCCTGGAGTTTGGCGTTTCTCCTATAGTGACAACTATACTTAAATGGACTCTCAACTTTCTCAAAAGGTTGCTCTCTATGGATGAAAGCAGATTACCCTTAATTTGCCTTAAAAGGCAACTACAGCTTATCGACTCGCCGCTAGCATATAACTGGCTATCGCAACTCAAATTGGTACTTACTGGAACAGGTTTTGATAATATTTTGATTAATAATTTAACACCAAGATTTGTAACTAGACGAAAAATCGATCAAATAATTGACAAATATCGAGAGCTATCCTTTCGGAAAGATATTGCTTTGGCTAGAGATTCCAGTTATATGACCTTTTATCCATTTTTATCAATAACAAAAAATCCAGCTACTTATTTAACATTTAGAGTACAAACATTTGTTTTGAAACTCATAGCGCAAACAAGACTTGCCAACAAATACCTATGTGCTTTTACCTTTAATTCTATCCTCTATAAACTTGACCCCCGCATAATATGTACAGTTTGTAACACCTCTGAACTAGAGACATTAGACCACATTCTTTTCAGATGTCCAATGTATAGAGAAGTCAGACCATTAACATGGTCGAGCCCTGACTCATTTCTCAATTTACTTGAAACCTTAGCTCCAGTATCTGCCAAAACATTTGCTTCCACCATAATGTCATTCCTCAGGCTTCGATCCTTTTTGATATCGCAGGATTAGAATTTGTTAGAAATATCAACTTTCTCTCTTTTTTTTGTTGTATAGACCCCTTCCATAGGTACTTTTATTAGGCACCAAAATGTGAACCCTTCTGGTTTTTAGTTTATACATAGAAATACAAGTAACTTTATCTTTCGCTTTGTAATTAGATTAAGATTATTTAGATTATTATTATTTTTTGTTCGTTTCTAATAACAAATACGTATCCAAATTCAAAACAAATTATATTCCCTCCTTTATAAGTTTATTTTTGCTTTTGTAATTCCAACCACTACGTTTACTAGATTTAGAGCACTCATTGTTATAGAAAATACTTTCTGGAAACAATAAAAATTGAATTGAATTGAATTGAATAAAATGCTAACTCACGAGGACGAGATTGCCCTAGACGGACGGGTTAGTTTGTTAAGTCTACATAATTTTGATTAATATTGGAAAAATTTGATGTTTCCCTCTTTTGCTTAGAGGTCGTCGTTGTAAATCACTCTTTTAATTTGTCACTGTTCTGAATCTCGTTCTTTACATATGTCGCTCTTTTGATATGTTGCTGTTTTTTTTAGATGTCGCTGTTCCAAATGTCGCTATTTTGATATATCGCTTTAACAATATGTCGCCTTTTTGATGTTGCTATTTTAAATATCGTTCTTTTGAACCGGAGCCACCGAAAATATCTTGTATTTTGGAAAACGATCTTCAGTTCTCGTAGTAAGGCACTTCGCGTTCTTGGCCAATCGCGCTTTATCCAGCTGCGTTTTTGTTCTGTCGCGCTTTTGTCCCCTCGCGCTTTTGCTTCTAGCGCTTTTATCCAGTCGCGTTTTTGTGCAGTCGTGCGCTTTTGTCCCTCGCGCTTTTGTTCCTCGCGCTTCTATCCAGTCGCGTTTTTGTCCATCGCGCATTTGTCCTGTCGCGTTTTTGTTCCGTCGTGATTTTGTCCCTCGCGCTTTTTATATCGCACTTTTCTCCCTCGCGCAAATGACACAGATCCCATGCATAAACTGGCATTTTTTAATTGTTGATTGCAACCAATCAGATTACGATTACGTGATAATTTGTACTAGTGCAAGATTATCGGATTGGATAATTGCTTAACTAACGGGTGGCATTTGACATTTTTTCTGATTGGTGACATTTTATACTTACGAGGATATACTAAAAATTTAAATTTTTGATTCATGAAATTCTCTCATAAAATACAACTCGAGCAATGGAAATATATCGATAATTTTTGAGAAATTGGCTCTCATGCATTTTTAACTGGAAAAGGCACTCTCGTCCCTCGTGCTTTTTTTCAACTAAAAATGCATTCGGGAAAATTTGCCAAAAATTATCGATAATTTCCATTTTATTCCAATTTAATTTTATTTCTAATTTTATTTTATTTTCTGTATAAATGAGCACACGATATTTCGCTTTCTGATTTTTGAAATCTATAAGGCCTCCAATAGAGTTTTCCTAAGCTAAAGAAAAAAAAAACTGAAAAAACTATTTTCAAAAAATTTAGAAATAAATATTTGTTCCAACAAATGTTGAGTTTCACTAATTAAAATATACTTACAGGGTGCATAAAAATCAAGGGTGGGAGATCATTTATAACGGAACACCCTTTTACTCACCTAATTTTATACTGCCATTCGTTTTTTGTGACGATGTCGGTCTAACTTAACGGCAACCTTGCGAAACACAAGTTTTTTTCAAACACGATTTTTTCATGGAGAAAAAGAGCGGCAAATTTTTGGGTTTTCATATTTAATTAGCGGCAAAAAGCGGCAAATTTCCACAGCTTTTCTCTATCACTCCATTTTTCTCTACCGACATTTTTAATGATACTGTTTTGCTCACTTGATGTCAACTTAGCGAAACACAGCATATTTTTTTCAAACGCGATATTTTCCACTCACTCAATTTATCACTACCGACATTTTTAGTGATCTCGCTAACTTTACGTTAAATTAGCAAGACATTATTTTATTTTCGAACACGATTTTCTTATGAAAAGCAAGGTAGCGGCAAATTTTTAGTTTTCACATCTAATTAGCCGCAGAAAAACGGCAAATTTCCATTCACTCAACTTATCACTACCGACATTTTTAGTGATTGTCTCGCTAACTTGACGTCAAGTTAGCGAAACACATGATTTTTTTTGAAACTTGATTTTTTGTAAAAAAAAAAGAAGCGACAAATTTTTGGTTTTCACAACTAATTAGCGGCAAAAAAACGGCAAATTTCCATTCATTCAATTTTTCACTACCGACATTTTTAGTGATATTGTCTCGCTAACTTGACGTCAAGTTACCGAAACAAATGATTTTTTTTTTTCAAACTTGATTATTTATGGAAAAAAAAAGAACCGGCAAATTTTTGGTTTACACAACTAATTAGCGGCAAAAAAAACGGCAAATTTTCATCTACCTAATTTTCTACTGCTGACATATTTAGTGATGTTGTCTCGCTATCTTGACGTCAAGTTAGCAAAACACGTAATTAAGAAAAAACCAAAAGAGCGGCAAATTTTTTAATTCCACATTTAATTAGCGGCAAAAAAGCGGCAAATTCTTGGCATAACGGAAAATCGATTTTTCGAAGTTGTCTCGCTAAGTTGATAGACATCTTAATAAGCATAATAGGTACTCCAATGACAGTTGAAATATGTTTTCTTAAATAATCCAATTTTCCATATGATTTTTTGGTTTCCGTTTGAAACAATATAGGATTTCCGTAATTCATAGTTATTGGGAAATTTTTTCACTTTTTTATGCAAACTGTCTCCGTTTTTGGTCATCATTGTTAAATATTCGTTGAACCATGGTTTTGATTATATTTCATTTTAATTTTTTTTTTTTGTGCAAC